CTTCCTGTACCATTCTGATGTTACTTTAAAATTGTCAGTCCTAAAAAGTAATTTTTTTTTTTTACCTACTCTGCCATACTTGTCATTAAAACAAAAGGTCACAAAAACGGTTTCCTGAGCTCTGTCCTAGTTAGTAAAGTAAAAAAAGGAAAGTAAAGGACCCTTTTCCGCGCCTTTAGGCGTGTAGGGCATATAGAGCTAGACCTATATTTTTATAGACCAATAGGCACAAATGGATGATGTGGTCAGCATCACGCCGGCCACCTTTACTTTCTGGGACTGCACCCGGTACCCACTCAAGGCTGGGTCGACCTGGAAGTCAAGGTCATTTTTGAAAACGTTTGGCTCCGCCAAGGAGCGAACCCTGACCTTCCGATCCGCGGCGAGCGTCTAGCCGCTCGGCCACGGCGACTCCCGGTAAGTAAAGTAAAGGACCCTTTTCTGCCCATTCAGTCGTATAGGGCATATAGGAGCAAGTTTTATGTTTAATAGACCAATCCGCATTTGATGGGTGATGTGCTCAACTACACACCAGCCGCCTTTACTTCCCAGGACTTTACCTGGTACCCATTTAGGCTAAGATCGACCTTAGAGCTAAGGTTAATTTTGAAGAAAAAAAAATAATAATAAAAAAGACCGACTCCGTCAGGACCTTAACCAAGACCTTCAGATCCAAAGGCGAACGTCTCTTGGCTACACCACGGCGCTGCTTTGTTGTAGAGCAGTGTTACTGAAACTTTTGATTTCTGCGGCGCCCTTGTCGGGCAAAAGAATTTGCGTATCACACCTACCCTTAAAGCGGTTTCAATACTTGGGAAACAAAGAAAATACAATGCAGTTGTAATGTTTATTTGTCTTTAATGCGATAAATACAACTTTTTGGCTGAATTTTTTTCATAATTATTACCTTTATGCATACGGCGAGTTTAGTTAATTGAACGCTCAAATAACTTCAAGGTTGCTCCTCTATCTTTGTGTGTGTGTGTGTGTGTGTGTGTGTGTGTGTGTGTGTGTGTGTGTGTGTGTGTGTGTGTGTGTGTGTGTGTGTGTGTTTGTGTGTGTGTTGTTGTTGTTGTTGTTTAAACGTTCGTTGAGAATGCACTTCAGCCTTGCCAAAAGCATTGTTTTCTGAATACACCTGCATCTGTAACTCTTATTGGCTTCCTTCAGGGTATTTCTGTTTTAAACTGCTGTTTTCGTTGATCTCAAACAGATTCTGACAATTTCTTGATTACTGCATCCCTGGCATACCCTTGCGACACCCATTCTGAGAACCCAGGGGTTACATTAATTAAATCTTTCGGTTTCAAGCTTTTCTAACCGAAAGTAATTACAGTTAAAATTACATATATAAGACAGAAAGTTAAAGGTTCACTGGATTAACAAGATGTAGATAATTCGAAAAGTTTTGGAGATTCATCACATATTTTTTTGTGGAGACGATACTTGATGGATCAAAACAACTCACTACATAGTGTCTTTGTCGAGTTAAGCACACGGCACATTCCCATGTGGGACACTTGCGCTCCGTACTCATTTTCAGCATCCAGCGAATTGTTCTAATTAAGATGGTACCAATAGCTGTTTGAATATTACAGTGTAGGTTATATTGGTTTAATAAGAACGGTAAAGAAAATATTGCTCATAAACGAGAGCAATAGAAATATAACCACGATTGTGGGCAAATGTTATTTTAGCATGAAATGCACAAGGCAGGCGGATTGGTAAAGCATTGACAGTATCCCTGGATCTTTTCAATTGGATAAATGTGGGCTGGGTGAACAGACTGACTGCTTGACAGCGCACAATTAATTAATACAGGATACTGTCGAAGTTGCCAAGGTCATTTGGGAGCACGTGAACAATGAGAAAAGTAATAGGTCATTACGGCGTAAAGGTCCTATTCACGTTTCCCAGCCCATCTACAAACTGACTGACCTTTCATTCACCATTTCTCAGACTGTTCTACGGCACAGGGGTTACCGTTGTCTTTCCTTCAATTACATCAGCGCCGATCGATGTCACGTGTTCTATACTACACGACGACGCAGCTTTTAACGACCTCAGAACAACTAGAACAGGCCCTAACCCAAACCCCCTACCCGCAGCCTGAGCCTAGCTCCCTCAAGAGACTCTTTTCGAGGAAAGCAGTGCAGCGTGACATCCCTTTCACCTTGACCAGACTGAGAAAGTGTGTAGATTGGCTGGGAAACATGAGTAGGACCGATGTAAGGTAGATAATTGTGCCACGGGAAATGACCAGATGATTTGAAGAATGAACAGAGGAAAGTCAAAACTAATTCATAATCAGACTGAAAATGACAGATTCGCAATGGAACCATGTGATTATTTCTGAAGATATGAATGGAGCGTCAACGGGAAAGTCGCGAGTGCTGTGGTATTTGTTCTTAGCTTGAATCAGGGTAGAGATTTTTTTCTGTCTGGCTATAGTGAAAATGGCATTATATAAAGTGATGATCTGATGAGAATGACGTTCTGCAAAGGAGTTGCTATATAACAATTTTGTTTGACAAAACTTACCTTATAAAGTATTGAGTCGCACACACAGATAATATCCACGATAACGTCATTCTCGACAAGACTTAGTAAGTGCTCAGGGAGACCTTGCCAGAAATGCAGCAGAAAATTCTGAATCTGTTGAGTATACGTTTGAATATACCGTGAGAATAACGTACGTGGATTTTTTGTTGATGGGAAAAAAGACGAGATTAACAGAGCTAATGTTAGAAAGGATGAGGAAAAAAGGTGATATTAACTTGGGTAAATGTTTAATAGATAAAGTGAGATAAACTGGAGTGTGTAAAGTGTGGATGTATGTAAGGAAAGCTTAACTGCGGAAAGAGTTTAATAGCAAACATCATCATCATCATCCGGTTGTGCCATAATACGTCACGTAAGCCCCATTGCTCCTTAAAAAGCATGCCGTAAAAGGTTACTAATTAAGGATTTGTTGAAATAGCATATGTTATGCGAAAAGACACAAATATCACAGTCTGGCTGTAAACCGCAACACAGCTAGTCAACATCATTTAAAGGGCGAACACAGGCGAAGAAGAAAAGGACCACACACACAAAAAAGAACGAGGTTGATGGGTCTGGAATCTGGAGTCATCATGTAATATGATATCCTGTCTTTATACCAGGCAGCTAACAATCAGCGGAGGACATATGGAGTCATCATGTAATATGATATCCTGTCTTTATACCAGGCAGATCACAAACAGCGGAGGACGTATGGAGTCACAATGCTTTATAACATCTTGTATTTAAGCATGCTAGATGAAAACAGCGGATGACATCTGAAGTCATCATGTAATATGACATATTTTTTAAGCATGACTTATGATAGAAAACTGACCTCCTCGAAGCTACTATTGATCGCTGTATCTAGAATACACTGGCAGTGTGTCTTGTACATCATGATGAATGTCTCAGCCTGAGGGACATATAGCAAGTCACAGCTGTTATTGACACATACAAGAACAAAATTAAACATTCCATAACATTAACGCATAAAAATTTTTTTTTTAAATTAATATCACACATATATTTAGGAAATGAAAGACATACAAATCACAACTCTCACTGACACATACAAAAACAAAATTAAACATTCCATAACATTAACGTATTTAAAAAAAATATTTCATAAATATCACACATATATTCAGGAAATGAAGGACATACAACAAGTCACAACTCTCACTGACACATACAAAAACAAAATTAAATATTCCGTAACATTAACGTATTAAAAATGTTTTTAAAATAAATATCACACATATTCAGGAAATAAAGGACATACAACAAGTCACAATTTTCATTGACACATACAAAAACAAAAATTAAACATTCCATAACATAAACGTATTTTTAAAAACAATTTTATAAATATCACACATATATTCAGGAAATAAAGGACATATAGCAAGTCACCACTCTCATTGACACATACAAAAACAAAATTAAACATTCCATAACATTAACGTATTTTAAAATTTTTTAAAATAAATATCACACATATATTCAGAAAACGAAGGACATACAACAAGTCACAATTCTCATTGACACATGCAAAAAACAAAATTAAACATTCCATAACATTACCGGATTAAAAAAAATGTTATAAATATCACAGATACATTTAGGAAATACATGTCACAAATTATTTGGATAGTTAAGGATTCAAAATTCTTAATTATTACAGTAACATTTAGGAAACACATGTCATTAGTATCACATGGAACCATTTAAATAATATAGCATGTCATAACTATCATAGATACACTTAGAATACAAAATGTCATAATGTCGCCAAAACGTTTAGGAAAAACATGTCATAATTATAGCAGATATACTAAAATAATAAACATGCCATATCTACAAAACATTTAGGAAATAACGTACCATAACTATGAATTTAAAGAAGGCATCATTTAATAACCATCACATATACACTAGAATAATAAAGATGACATAAAACCATAACAAACAATTTAGAACACGTATCATAAATTAACTATCACAGATAAATTTAGGAAGGTAAAAAGTTATTTGCATATCTTGTACAGGACGTTGCAAAACCAACCACAGCATTTGTTGGTATGGTTGCTTTGGTTTTACTGATCAAATTTTAGGGCCAGTAATTTGTCGTTGCCCCTAAAAGGTCAGCTCTTGATACACTTGTCGAAAGCACAGCAATGCGGTCTCTTGTCGTAACACCCCAAGCTGGAATCGGAGAGGGTACCTTGGAATTATAAAGCGAGCTCGCAACGCCTAAGGCACAAACGCCGACATTTAGGGAATACATACAAATATATAAAATAAGTTTAAGGAAAGAATATTTCTTCACAATTATGAATACATTTGGGAAATACACGTCATAACTATCACAGATCATCATCACCACCATCTTCATTATCATGTGCCCTGTCGATTGGCGTGGGCGATCAACCGTCTCTATAACCTGAGATCTGTAACAGCAGGCATTAATGAGTTCACGTGCTGACAGCCCTTTGTGCTTTGGAAAAAAAGCAGTAAAGAATAGTTTTCCTTTTCTTCCTTTTACTAATCTTCCGCAAAACTTTCCAGTGGTTACACATGTTCCATTTTCCTTTCCCTCCATTAAAAGTTAGTTGCATATCCTTTACAGGACTTTGCAGACCAACCCCAGCATTTTGTCAATGTCGTAGATTTTCTAGGCACATGTTACGTTCACTAGTTTACCATCGCTTTCTGTGCGGTCAGAAACCAACGCAAGCAAGACCAAACGTCTACAGCTAGGACCGAACCGAGCATAACAAAGCGTGTTCGCAACGTCTGAGCCACAGACGTCGACTCCCCCCCCCCCCCCCCCCCCCCCCCCTCATTACATGACCAACAGTCGCTCGCCTCGGATCGGAAGGTCGTGGGTTCCCTACCTGGCGGAGCAGACTTTTTTTCAAAAATAACCTTGGCTCCCAAGTCGACCCAGCCTTGAGTGGGTACCGGGTGCAGTCCCGGGAAGTAGAGGTGGCCGGCGTGATGCTGACCACATCACCCATATTGGGCCAATTGGTCTATGAAATATAAGTCTAGCCCTATATGCCCTATACGCCTAAAGGCGTGGAAAAGGGTCCTTTACTTCACTTTACTTACATGACCAACAAATGGATCTGTTTCTTTCAGATGTTTGTAGTAAAGTAGAAGGGAAAACATTAGGTTAGGTAAATAAAAAGGCATTTCTTTTTTTCAAACTGTCATAGGAAGTTTTTCCGTCTCTACCTAGGACTAGGAGTCACTGTTTGCTTTTAACAAGCATGTTAATATTCAGACCGCAGTTGGTGATAACCTTCAGATATGTATCGTTCATCGATAAATCTATTCGCTGGCAAGTCTCGCTTTCTAGTCATACTGCCGCCTCCATGCTATGATTGGACAGGCGCTCATGAAATATTCAGTCCACAGGCCGACCAAGTTATCGGGATTTCTTTTCTTGATACTTGCTCCCGATGCTCGACCTGTCTCGCTATTGTAGTTCCCATTGTAGTTATCTGTTGGCAGTGTTGCTTGCTTGTCATTGAATGTACATTTATCACCAGCTCCATTCACATTTCGACCGGCTCGAGGGCCAGAAGTACGGGGCTCTCCCATATCTGGTAAACAATCCTTGTGTGTGCTTCGTCCGTATGTCAGCTTTCGCTGTGTGGAGGTTGGGACACATCAGTTGCACATTTATCACTCGATAATCCGTCGTATCTTTGGGAGATTTGTCAAGCTGCCCCTTTCGTGTTGTGGCTTAGTTCTCTGTAAACTGCAGGCCACCTGAAGTGGATTCAGAGAGGGGGTCCTGTAGCCGCAGTGTTTAGTTGCTTTTTTTTTTTCTTGACCATGCTTTCTAAAGAGAGCAACGGAAACGTAATGACTAGACTCTCGCCTGCTGCCCCGAGGGAAAAAGTTCGAAATCCTGATCGAAGGGCATTTTTGCAATATTGACCTTGGCTCCCAAGTTGACCCACGCTAATATGAGTGTCAGGTACCAATGCATATACGATATAAACAAGAACAGTGGTAAAATAGCGCAGTGGCTAAATGCTCGTCTGTCGACCTGAGGGTCTTGGGTTCCAATCCGTATCGAGTTGAATTTATTTTTAATTTGGAATTTGCCTCCCAGGTCGAATTAGCTTAAAACTGGGTACCAAGAAATTATCCGAAAATCAGTCAGCCAACGTGATGCTGACTACATAACCCATTGAGAGCTGAATGTTCTATAAAGTATTGGGTAAAACACCATATACCTGATGCATTACTTGTATGTAAAGAATTCTGTATTTGCAATTTCAGTATAGTGCAAAAAAATATTTATAAATTGTTCATAAATAACTACAGAAAGGATACAACAAAGGACTTCAACTTTACCTTATCTCGGGGCACTGACAATGGAAGGATAAGAAATCGGGCGTTTGGAAAGTCCGGTAGTAAGGTCCCAGTTTTGGAATTGAGTGAATATTTTCTAGTAAAGCCGCCCTGAAATATGTCAAGGTATTCTGTTCAGTTTAAAAGGAAAATAAATTCCAGTAATAATAAGTTTCACAGAGTATGAATTGTCGTAAATATATAATACTTAACTCTTCTTATTTCTTTTTATTCTTCTTCAGCCTTTCCAGCCATTGTGATTTTTTTCTGCAGATATCACTCGTCTCCATTCAACTCTTTGATTGGCCTCCTCTGGTGACTCGAGTGTTTGTAGATTTGCCTTTGTATTATTATTTGGCTGTTTTCTTAATTAACTGGAATTATTCTTTATAAAATACAAATGATATGTATGTATGTATATATATATATATATATATATATATATATATATATATATAAATATATATTATATATATATATATATACTATATATATATATATATATATATATATATATAAACTGTTCAATAAAAAAAGTGACAGTCGGTATCCATTCACTGCATTCGCAGCAAGATATCGATCGCAAACGGTCTTTTCCGAAAATTAATTTTCTTCTTCTTCGTCTTCTTCGCGTTCACCAGCTGTAAACTCCTGCGGAAGGTTCAAGTTGTTTGTCTACTTCTGGAATGCAGTCCTGTTCCAGAACCTGAGTCTTGCGTGTGCGTCTATTTAACAGATCTGACTTATTTGTATGCAGACTGCTAGTTCCTTGCCTCTCAGCCAGATGCACTCCGACTTTGAAGGAAGCTCCCAATTAGTCGACTCATACGACATGCTTTTGGGTAGGCAGTGGGTCTGTTCTTGTTTTTCCTGTCATAGGGCCTCACAGTTAATGACTTGGAAGCTTCTTCAGAACTGTGTTATATTGCGTTGCTTTCTTACGCTTTCTTTTTGTTGTACTTTTAAAAACGGGTCTCTGTTATGAAGTGCGGCCTTGACTATGTGAATATATTACTTTTTTGGGACAATATTTATATAGGTATTTGTGTTAAGGTTATTATATGTCTTCACTTGGATTTGTAGGTCCACCTAGTATAACATGTGTACAAGGAAATGTCAATGAAAGTGAAGGCAGTCGGCACGGTGTTGACCGCATAGTCCCCCGAGTGACGATTAAACTATAAAAATATATCTAGCACCATATGCCAGATTTGTAAATCAAGCAAGAGGGTGTCTTGTACTTGTCTTTATTCTAAAGTATATGTTAAAAAGGCAAATATTTAAAAACAAAACCTACCATTGCCCATAGACGTATTACTTCGAGAACCCTTCTCATCATTATGTTTGGTTATGTTCATAATGACATACAGTTGTGCCTTGGTATACATTCGCTTTGGTATACGTTAAACTTCGTATACATCTCATTTAGACGCAAAACTTTTGCTTGGTATACTACCTTTGTTTGAAATACAACTTGTATGAGTCAAAAGTTAAAAACAACGCTGTGAGCTATTTTTGTTTACCTCTCTCCAGTCAAAGCCTCGAATAGATGTCAATTAGCAGAGAAGTATCACCTCATCAAACCCCAAACAAGCTGTCACTGCGCTGTCTCAAATGCCCAGACAATGTGACATGGGAAACATCGCAAGAAGAAGGTAGAGGCAAAGTTCTTTGGGCAGATTTTTAGTAAAAATGAAACCTGTTGAGCTTTAACAAGATCCAAGTAGTGAAAACCGAAAGAGAAAACACAATAGAAAATCATATTCGTTAACTTTTTTTTTAAGGGAACTCTCTTTCGAAACACTAACATCTCTCCCCCCCCCCCCCCCAACCCCGTCATGATTGTATGCAAATGTGGTTTTTGTAGCATTCTTGAACTTATTTTGAGCGGAAATATGCCGATGATGCAGTCACATGAAAGACGGATGCGAAGGTCAGTGAGCGTTTTGTCCGCGACACTGAGATTTATCACCACCCAGAACACTGGCTAACCGAGAGACGTCCCGAGAGTGTCACACTATACAAACGATACATGTGTGACTACGATAGGACTGAGCTTTTTCAAAAGATAGTAATGCTAGGGAAAAGAAGAGAAAGCATTCTCTAATTATACCACGGAAAACATTATATGTGCGGTATTTCCAACGGCTTGTAAAGGCGACTTGCCCGCTACTATCTGTGTGAGAGAGAAAAAGGACAATAAATCTTACACCAGTGAAACGTGGAACATGAAACTGATTGAACTACGCTACACCAGGTCATTAACTAATATACGCCCCGTTCCCTCGGACACCTAGACGTCATTTAATGGGACAACATTTGTTCTGACGCAGTGTGACGAGCTGGTCTGGACAGCTGTTTCTGCCCTTTTAAGTATTGCTTTGCATTAGTAATATTATTAATTCATTAATTAAAAAGTAAAGAGGCGAATGAGATGATGAGTACTGCAAGGGGTACTGAAGAGTTACTTCCTCCTTTTTAAGGACTTCCTGTTCCCTTTTCAATTCAGAACTTGACCGGTTCAGGCTAAAGTTGTTAGTAAGCCTGTGGTACAATTTTCTGTTTGAATTCTCTATCAGGGGTGAGTGAATAAAATTAAGTTTAATTTGATGTATTGCTGCTTATTCCTCTGAATTAATTTTATCTGCTGAATTCTGAAATTTAATGCCCACATGGCTCAGAAACCATGATAAATTTCTTTATCCTTACTAACCACGTTTATGATCTAGTATGTACATGTATGCCAACATGATCTATTTGATGATTGAATAATGTTTGTTTGATACTAGAAACGTGCACTGGTAAATACTATAATTATATTAATTAGGTGAGAATTATGTCCTCATAAAAAATCTCGGCCAGTTCCTGTTTCCAGCTTAGACAATTAAAAATAGGAATGAAGTGTATATTCATTATACCTAACCCCTACTAAGTTGATTTTTACCTCATGGTGAAATTAGCTTGATAAATTACTGTCTTGCTTTAACTTAGATTTAGTCCTGATAATTCTGGGACTGGTTTAAGAGCTTGAAAAGTGACTAACACAGTGGGGCTGAATTTAATATTCACACTGTCAGAGGAGAAGAAGAGAGATGTATGGCCCATGCTTGTAATTATTATTGTTGTAAATATATTTCCCTATTACTAGGAATACATTTCAGTTCTACAGCAGGTGGCCTTACAATTGTAATAAGTATATTTCAACCTTTACAACTTCTAAACTCTACTGAATAAGATTTTGCACATGTGTGAATTTAGATTTAAACTGGAGTGAGTGTTGTATATTTTTTGTTAATACTGTGACAGATGGAAAGCCCATTGTCATCTATGATTGTATTTTGACATCTATCATAGCACCCAGTATATTGATGGAGATATGTCAATCCCATTTATTTTCAAACAGTGCAAAGCACCTGTTATGAGTTCCTGGCCTTGGTAAACTCACTCCCTGTTTCTCATTCTTTGTGATGTGAGCCCATGTGGTTAAAATGAGAATATTGTGAAACATGACTGTATGTCTGTGTGTGTAAGCATGTTAACCCTTCAAAGGAGTACTAGTGTGCAGACATCAGAACAATTTACACTGAGGAATGCCCTTTCTTTTTGTGTGATGTAAACTCTTGTTCTTGAGAGTATTCATAAAACTGGTTTCCTAAATATTTCCCCATCAGGATTATGGACCATGTTCTGTATACATTCCCATTATATACCAGTAGAATGTGAACACCTGTTACTATCCTACTCCATATATATATATATATATATATATATATATATATATATATATATATATATATATATATATATATATATATATATATATATATGTAGTGTAACAGTTTAAAGACTGGAGGTATTGTTGTCTCCAGTTAGAACCTTCCTGACTGTTTGTATAAGGACTGTTCTATTGTTCTAGTTCCTGATGATAGTTCCAGATTGTAGTTCCAGGTGGGAGCTACAAAAGTAAATCCAAGCTTAGCTGCAGATGCCGATTGTCTGGACTGGACTGGAAGATTCGGCCTGCCTGATGTGTCACCGAGGCTTAGCCAGAAGCTGACCTAAAGCTACAGCTAAGACTGTTATCTACTAACCAACCTTAGATAACCGGATTTTATCCACAGCCATTTAGTTATCATTTGAATTTTCAAAATAAATGTTAGTTTCAATGTTCCTACAGTTTTATGAAGTTTCATTTTAACTGTAAACATTGTCAGTGAACTTAAGAACATTTAAATATACAATCTTAATAACAGTAGGGAAAAAGATGTGGGCAAACCCCAAATCCTCTAATTTAACCAGCAAGGCTGGGGGTAATATAAACCTTTATTAAGATTTAATGTTTGTAGTTCCCTCTGTGAATTGCACATAGTGCATTCGCTAGTGTAAAGCGAATTTACCCGTCACACGCAGGCGGGTTCACGAATGGAAGAAGAAATAATTACAGACACTCGGAATTCTCTTCTTTTAAATATTTCACTTTTCTTCGCGATGACATCTCATCAGGCTACACCAGATACACCTGAGAACACGACATTCTCTAAGCACCCAATTTACCTGCAGGATTCAAGTTTACACGGCTCTACCCTGCTACAACAGTTCCATCTGTGACCACGTGGCCACCTAGAAATGAACGTAGAGATACAGCACTTGATTTGCTATTCTCAGGCCTTGATCGATGCACGCAAAAACTATATGACTGACAACAAGCACGTTTGGATATCGAAACAGAAGACTCAATGAACGCTATATTTTTGCTGTAATTAGTTAGGCGGTGATTCCCCCCCCCCCTTTCTCTCTCTCTCTCTTTCTGTCTACGCCGATTTATGTATGTATTGGCTGAGCTGGTAATGATTATTATTAGTCATCGCTAGTGTATTACTATTGTTAGAACCTAGAAAATGTGAATGCAACCCCTTGTGGCTTGCAAAATACATTGTTTAAGCAATGTTACCCTACCACAAAGTATGCATCTCTTTCTGAAACCATCCCTCGGGGTGCATCTTTCTATGGCAGTCCTTTATTTCAGCCAACTTTCTGTCACAGCAGGGACTGTGTCTGATCTGACTGAGCCATTTGAATTTACTGTACACTTCTTGGAGCCAGTCATGCCG